GTTGGTACCATTTAACAAAAGATTTCTTATTAGCGTCCATTGTTAACGGCACCACAATGGCCGCCATGCTTTTGTCTTTTAACTCTCTTGGGAATGCTTGCAAACCATCAATGGACAACAGCCAGTTCATTACAACCCTTTTGGGCAGGATTGTTTTGCTATTTAATGTAAGTAAACGATTCTTAATACATGTAATGCCTTTTGGTCCTATATAAATTCATTTTAGTTTTGGATTGAAAGTGTTGGTTTTCAAAATGAGAATCATTGCTCGATCAGTATAAACAAGTTCTCTTGACAGCATGTTTGAATCGACTGCTTGTAAATTGTAAGTCATGTCGGTTTAACTGGAAAAAACGTCTTTTTCAAAAAAGATTTCAAAATGGATATAATAAAGTGGTAATTGAACTTCGTGTCGTGCAATTTTGGTCTGAAATCAAACTTGCAATTACAAATCGCACTCCCGCTACGCGGTCGTGCGATTTTGTAATCGCGCGTTTGATTTCAGACCAAATTGCACTCCACAAAATGAAATGTTTGAAAATATTTTTCAATTAAACTTGATAAATGTCATCAACATTTTTTCGTATAAGCTTAGGTTTTTTTATATAAGTATTTTTTGACAACAATATATAAGCTTACTGTAAAATAAATATAATTTCAGAACAAAAAAATAGATTTTTAACAAAGAAAAAATATGCTTTATYCAAGGTCGAGGAAAGGAGGTCAAAGATACTGAACGCAGATATGATTTATGGTCCCTAACGATAAAGAATAAACCATCTAAATGTTGATTTTGCGACTAAAAAATTTTCAAAAAGTACGACTGGTTTACGAAGGCGAATACGATAAACGAGTTACTGAGTAAATTTTGACACTTAAAAGGATTGATGAGCAGAATGGAAAGACAAGGGAAAACATACTTTAGCTTAGTTAAAAGCCCAACAGCTTAGTAKTAAAACGTCCTTGTTTGGGTTTATAAAATGAAGGGAAAGAAGAGAAAAGATTTTTCTAACTACGCGATAACTTTTCTTGCAGGGAAAAAAATGGCGAGAAAACGAAAGGCCAGTAGCTCAAATTATTTATCTTTTCAGAGTTTTAGATCGTTGATATGATAAAAAAAAGTATTGAACTTGATAAGTTAATGAGTAATTATTATGCTTACGTTAAATTAAAGATGTATAAACTTTTAAATCTTTATTTTGACCGCTTTTTGTTTCAAGATTCCCGCCTTTAAAATTACAATTTTATTGTGACATTTTGGAAGAAGCGTCGCGCCAAGATTTGGTTGCTATGTGACGTCACACTGTCATACATGACTGTTTCAGAATTTTATTAAGAAAACCATTTGAGTCATCTCCTCCCTCCTGCTTATAAAAGCTTAACAATAACTAGGCCAGCTTAAGCTTCATATGCTTTTTACTTACTTCTCTGTCGATCAAGTTATACTCAGGACTGAATAATGGTGCATTGCTTGACCGTAGCAGGAAGATTCTTCTTCGTTGCATGCTTCATTACACAGACGACCATGTTTGCCCAGTACCCGAGTGTCTACTTGCACAGCCACTGGTACAATGTGCTAATACTCCTTGCAGTACCTACTTTGGTGGTCTGGTGGCTCCTACTACGAAAAAATAACAAGCAGCTCCAACAGCTGTGGATGGTATGGGGTTGTTATATACTGACCATGATTATCCCAATGGTTGGGTTGATATATGGTGGATTAAGGAAAAAACTGGATGGCAATCACTTCTTTGGGCCAAATGTTCTTATGATGACTACTTGTGGCTCACCTGCCATAGCCCTTCTTCTTCTGTCATCCGCGAATGATACGGCACAAGATAATGTTGCACTGTTTGCAGAGATATGCTGCAATACCATCTTGGATTTATTTGATGATATAGAGCTTCTAGACATGTTGCTATCCCAGAATGAGTCGACATTTCACCTACCATCGTCGTTAGAAGTCAGCATCCTGGTGTGCGTTTGTATCAGCCTGCTGCTGTCTACTCTGGAAATGGCCGAGAAGAAACACGATAGGGATTGTGGTTGCAAGTATCGGAAAAGAATTTATTTTCTGCGACTCCTGCTGCAGATGTTCCTGGTAAACATTGCTCTACTGATTATACGTTTGGTTGTGTGGCTCAAATACAAGCACAATGCGTCGATTTTTATAGCCAAAAATCTGATCGTTATTGTGATGTCCATTATAAACATGACGAGGCTCGGTTCTGATGAAGACTGAAAAGCCGACAGGATTTAAAACTGGGAAACAGAAAAACAAAAATAAATGGTTTGTTTGACTAGTCATTCGTTATTTGTATTTATCTCTACTGTATATCAGTCTTTCTGTTACAGTAACATGGGGCTGGCCCATTTCCGTCGATTCTAGGAATACAGATCGCAGGGTCAATACAGCTACGTATTTCCGTTTACAGTTTTCATTGTTTTTCTTATCAAGGAATTCTTAGTAAGACTCAGTTGAACTTCTTTAAAGTTCGTGCAATTGTGTACAAGAGTGATGGAGAATGATACGAGTAATGCAGTGAATGCATCTGAAAAATAATACTACTGAAACGTATAAACAGAATCAATGAAAACAAAAACAAAATAAAACAAATTTTTATGGAGCAAAATCATGGACGTAATTTTGAGTGGTGTCAGTAAGATCTTTTCTGTAGATGATGGTAAACTGTGTTGATCAACATGGCCAATACTGATATGTGGCCTATGTACGGTTCAAAAAAACGTTGGTCGAGGAAAATATGACAGAAAAATGTGCAGAAAAGTTTGGGAAAATTGGAAAAACACGCATACACGTCGCCTCCACAAATCCCTCACCACCTCACTTTTTGAAATATCTGATACATAAAAGCTATTTCTTTTTTCTTTTTACTTTTGTTGGTGCAAGTGACAAATATAATAGGATGTTCTTGATATCATGGAGAGTCACTCTCCATAAATCAGTTTCTTGGAAATCCAAAAATGCATCACGTCTCGCGATTTTCTTTAATTCAGCCTATCTGCGTACTAACAACGACCCAAAAATATTAAAGCAAATACATTCGCAATTTAAAAAAAATAAAGAACACTGCTGTTGTTTCTGATATAAAAATTCCTTTCTCATTTAGCACGAAGTTTTGAAATTAAATATGCATGAAAAAAAGTATATAAATTAACCTTTTTACTTGGTGTAGTTAGTTAGTTATCAAGGTACTAGAATGTTCTGGACTTGCAGCTTTGCGATGTCACGGAACGATCAAGTCTTCAGATTTTTGTTTATTAAGCTAGAAAATGTACTCCCAATGCATTATGGATGAGGGAAAATCCCTATCATTGATCTTGGACTCTGGGTACGTGATTGGACTAATTACGTAATATACCAACAAATATAAAAATACATTTCTTAGAAATAAAAGTTGAGACCTCGTCCACCAATCATATTACAATCTTTTGTAATGAGCTATTAAAATCTACCAATGACATTTAGTGTGCTTTCCAAGTCGGAGTGTTATAAAACCTCAAGTGACTTCGATAAGTTTAGTTTCCAAGTGACCTCAAGTCGGATCGCTCGGTAATGTATAAAGCTCAAGTGATCCAGTTTTAGTGACTCATCATGGGCTGTTTGACCGGCACAGGAAGATTTGTATTCTTCGTAGCGTTGATCACACAAGCTGTAATGTTTGCCCAGTATCCAAGTATCTACTTTGAGAACAGCTTGTACAATTGCTTAATACTTCTAGTACTACCAACATTGCTAGCCTGGTTCGCTGTTCTAACATGCTGTCATGGAAATGAGCAGCTTCAAAATATGTGGTTCGTATGGGGTGTCTATGTTTTGACCCTTCTAATCCCAATGGTTGGTATCATATACGGTAGATTAAGAGAAAGCCTGGATAGCAATCAGTTCTTTGGGCCAAATATTCTGTTGATGACCACTTGTGGCTCGCCTGCAATAGCTCTTCTTCTTCTGACAACTGCTAAAGGTACAGCGACACATGAAGAAAACATTGAATTGTTCACACAGCTCTGCGGTAACGTAGTCTTGGATTTATTTGATTATATAGAAATTCTAGACATATTGCTTTCTCAAAATGAGAATTTCCATCTTTCATCTGCGTTACAAGTTTGCATTGTCGTGTTTGTTTGCATCAGTTTGGTGTTGTCCACCTTGGAAATGGCTGAGATGAAATGTGAAACGGCCTCATATGTAAATGAAATCGTGATTCGCAAGAAAACGTATCTCCTTCGACTGATTTTGCAAATGTTTCTGGTAAACATTGCCCTGCTTGTTATTCGATTGATAGTGTGGTTCAAGTACAAACATAACGCATCGATTTTTATTGCCAAAAACGTTATCATTATTATGATGTCGATAATAGGTCTAGTGAGGTTTTTTGCTCAATGACTGTGACAGGTAAAAAGACTAAAAAGAACTGTCTTAAATCGCATTGCTGATAGCTAATTAGATTACAGTGATCACCAGTGATCTCAATATTGGACATAAAAAATGTAAACGAAGGACAATATTCCACCGACAAAATACACATAAAGATTACTGTAATTATGATCTCTCTTGCTTGTCTTGCTTATGTGAAATCGGAAATTGCTTTATTTACTGATGCATGTATGTTATATACCGCGTACACTCCAATAATCTTCAAGCTTTCTAATCCTGCAATGTAAATAATATTATTCTTAGTCGTAGGCATTTCCTATTAAAACAGTTCGTCAGCGTTGCTTTATAAATGTGTCCTTAATTTATATTCTTCCAAGATGCATACCGTGATGTAATACTATGTGATCCAGTTATTTAAAAACCCATTGCCACTTACCGTGATGCATCACAATTTGTTTACATTTTGAATTGTGTCACCACTGAAAAAACAATTCCAACCTTTTGAATAAACTCTTAAAAAAATGTAAAAGAATCATTATTGTGCCTTAGTGCTATGTCGGAAAAGGATTTAATATTAAGTAATTATTCAATATATGAATCTTTGAATTTCATGGACCACAAAATTCATATGTGACCGCGGTGCATCACGGTAAGTGGCAATGGGTCTTTAAAGGGGGTTTAATTTGGGATATGACGTATCCCTGAAATTAACCAATGAAATGTCATTATTGAGCCTTATAAAAACCTCTGCACACCTCTAACTGAAGGGGGTTTCTTAGAAATCTATTTTTAATTTGGGATATGACGCGTATTCCTGAAATTAACCAATGAGATGTCATTATTGAGCCTTATAAATACCTCTGCACACGCATTTACAGACAAACGTCAGTCCCACGTCCTTGGAACAACAGCACTAAACAAGAACGGAACTACGAAGATGACTGAAAACAAAGCAGGCAAGAAAGAGAAGGTATTGAGATGGACGCATGGCATCGGGAAATTGCTTTTTATCATACTGGTATTCGTACAGGCCATTGCACTTGCTAGATATCCAAGCATCTATTGGAAAAACGAATGGGGTAACATAATGCTGATTGTGATGCTACCAAGTTTGATAGTATGGTACCAACACAAAAAGAAGACACATGAGCAACAGATAGATCAGTTATGGAAGGTATGGCTGGCCTATGTTATTCCTCTAACGGTAATGATTAGCGTAATATTTGGAGGCTTGAGGTCAAAACTTGACAAGACTCACTTTTTTGGACCCAACATTCTGAGGATGACCATGTGTATCACTCCTGGAATTGCTTTACTTCTCTTTATAACTACTTCAAAGGCAAGAAAACACTATAGTGAACTTGTAGTAGAGTTGTGTGGGAATGTCGCTGTAGACTTGTTTGATTACGTGGAAGTTCTAACGGCTCTTCTCCCCCAAAGTGGGTCAGTTTATCTTTCTGATGCCATCGCTGGCACCACAATAGCATTAGTTCTTGTCAGTCTTTTACTCTCTGTCCTGGAAATAAGCGAGAACAAGCTTCAAGAAGGTAAAATCGAAAAAAATGAAAAACTGTACCTCTGGCGATTGATTCTGAAAATACCAGTCAACCTCACGCTTCTCATCATTCGGCTGGTTGTGTGGTTAAAACTCAAACACGATGCTTCTATCTTCATTGCGAAGAATATGATCATTATTTTGATTATGATTTACAATATTGTGCTGTACTTCTTGGACAAAAAAGAAAACAAAAAAGGAAGAGTCGAGAGCAACACTGGACATGGACAGTTTCACCAAACAGAAAGCCTTGGGAACGGAACTGCCAAATCCAAGAGCCAAGACTATTACAGCCAAGAACATTGTTTGATAAAGTAGAAGCACATCTGGTGGCATTATTTCTTGGAACTTTAAATTGGTTATCAAATACGGTTTAGCTGGCTGTCCGTGTAAAATTCATGCATGTGTAGGATTAAAACAACGAACTGAAAAAAGATCTTACACACCAAGATTATAGAACATTTTGTCGTAACTAAAGTAAAGGTGCTCTTTTTGTTTATTTTGTGGCCGCTATTTTGGAGAATCGTCTATTCACTAACAGGTTCCAAGAAATCCTGTTAATATATACCTAATTGATTTACTTCTCAGTTGTAATAGATGTTGTTAAATAAAATCATGATAAACTTTAGTAATACAATTTATTAGTTGTCAAAATTCTATCGTGGTTTGATAATGAAATTAGTTTTATTCATTTCACTTTTTGACAAAAACTGAACGTGAGCAAAACTAAAGAACAGTCATCCATAAAGGCTACGTCAATAAAGTGTTCATTGGCTTAGAACCGAGAAATACAAACCAATTATGTAAATTGATTCAAACCTAAGTCACAACTGTTCAACCATCCTCCACAGTGCAGTCAAAGACGGCAGGAATTCTGGGGAAGACTCCACCATGGGGAATACCCTACCTGTCGGTCGAGGGAAATTTCCCTTGGCAGAAACAAATGGACCCTGGGGGCTTATAAACTAGCGCTAGCGATTATTAATTTCTCGTTCAACTTTGAACCCAGGCCGTAAAACGAGTTGGATATTCGGTGCTAATTTGCTGCTTGGGAACTAGGCAAAGCATAATAGCCAACTTTTGATATTCTGGTTGAATGATCAAGCACAAAACAATCTGAGTCGAGGCTCAGGGGTAACCAAAGCGTATCGTAATTATTCGACTGGTCTTGTAGATAAACTAAAAGTACGACGAATCGATTTTCATCGCTAAAAATTCAATGAATATTTTGATTTCTTTTTTGGAAATTCTAAAAGTGAACAACTGTTGTGAATGCAAAGTTGAAGATGACCGGGCACTGTTCCAGGAATTTTTGGCTGGTTTTGAGAACAACAATCGACGGGTCTTTTTGGAACTTGGCAACGAAATGCACAAGCACTAGCAATTACCGAGGAGAAATTATTATCTGTAGGCTCCGTCCACACGTGTCCGCAAATTTGTGTATCCGTATCCGGAAATTTTCGAAAACGGTCTCCAGAGTGGAAATTTTCGAATACGCTCCGAATACGGAAGGAAGGAAGGAAGGAAGGAAGGAAGGAAGGAAGGAAG